ACGCACTTTTAATCGCATCATTGTGCGCGACGCGGGGACAGCAGCAGAGAGAAGAGTGAGTGGATGAGGAGAATGATGAGGAGGTTTGGCGGGGAGGGGGAGGGGGCGATGCGGGGGCAGCAGCCGGGATTATCCATCTCGGCGATCACGACAACGAGCGGCTAACCCCGTTGGCTTAATCTGTCTGCGGCGCATATCTTTTAAAACTTCCTTTCGAACATCCGGCTGAATGGCTCGAGGAATTCGTTTGGCAGCTACAACGACGTTGACGATTACCGGTGCAACGACGAGGCTCGCGATTCAAAAGCCGAAAAATTCCTGCCTATTATTGTCCGGAACAAGAGGCGCGCGAGAGGGACGGAGGTAGGATACCAGGCGAGAGTGGGTGGGGGTTTTGGGCGGGGGGTGGAGACGGAAGTGGGAGACGACGACGCGAAGAGGCGAAGAACGGCGACAGGTGGTGGTTTGGCGCGTTATCGGACGCGATTTTGTCTGGTTGCCCGTGACGATTAGATATCCAGCACTCGCACCGCGACTCGATCCCGACGTTTACTCGGTCGAGACGTCCTCGGTCCGTCCGCGGAGAGGAATCATCGAGAACCGGGCACGGGGGAACGGAGGAGCGCAGCTGCTCGGCGCGAAGCCCTCCTCCGGCTGCCAGGAACGGCGGCTCCTTGGGCGGCCTCGGCCGCGAGAAACAGGTATAATGGCGCTTCTAGTGCACTCCTGGGCGCGCAGCTGCGCGGCCATGAAAGCGCGCGCGCGACATGTGTGATCCCGTTTTTCGGTTTTGCGCGTCCCGACTAGCGTATGCCCTCTCCCGCCCTCTCCCGCCCTCTCGAGCTCCCTCCTCCCCTCAATGCAGCGCACGCCCACACCTAAATGCGTGCGTGCGTGCGTGCGTGCGTGCGTGCGTGCGTGCGTGCGTTTTTGTCTGCCTTGTCTGCTTGACTGCCTGACTGGCCTGACTGTCTGCCTGACTGCCTGTCTGTTTGCCTGCCTGACTGCCATGTCTGCCTGCATGCCTCTGCCTGCCTGCTCATCCATCCATCCGTCCGCACGCCTACCTCCCTCCTCCGGGATATTTTCTATTGAAATACCAGGGCCGAGATCACTTGCCGACCGCTAGACCGCACGACAATGCTCTATCCACCCCGATTCTCTAATCGATCATCTGCGCGCGAGCCGGACACGTTTTTTTCCTTTCGGTCGCGGCACGCGCGCACCCGCGATTGTAAGGCACGAGGCGGGACGGGACGCACGCGCCCCTCGCAAGGACCTCGGCTAGTAACGAGGAAAACAAAGGGGCCTCGTGCCCACAAGCACCGTCATCCCCTTAGCCTCTTCCAGACGCGTGGAGTTTAGTGCCCTCTTGGCTGGAAATCGACGTACGTTTGCGATATCGAGCTCCCTCTAGTCAATTTCCAGTCGGGCGCGGCGAGATGGCGACAGGACGTCGGGGCGGATTCGCACGCAGAAGCTTTAGAATACATTGAGCTTTGAGCGTCGGGATGGCGAGTCTCGTTGGAGACGATCGCGATAACCAGATAACCGCGCTCCTCCCGACGTCGCTCCGCCACTGGTCGATTAGCATTTGGACTATGGAGCGTCTCGTTGTATCATTGTTGCGCTCGAATGGCCTATTAAATCGGTAACGACGTGACGATAATTGACGGTACGACGATAGTCAGAGCCCCACTCCATTCCACTCCACACACACACACACACACACAGAGAGAGAGAGAGAGAGAGAGAGAGACAGACAGACAGACAGACACAGACCGACCGCGAGCACATGCGACGAGAAAACAATTTCTTTATTATAAGTAAATTGATGCTCTTATGCCGTAATGCTAAATTGCATTTCTTAATTATTAAAATGTAATATGTAGGTCGCTCTTGTTAAAAGTAAGGCCTGGCGTTCGGATGTACTTAGTCATGATTTACTATATAACCCTGACTATTTATTTTCTCGAATTGAAGGCTCTTTATAACTAGAAGCATAATTAAGCTGCAAACACCGATACAAGGATGAATAAACGGATCGTTACTCTTGATTTCTAGGAATATCGAAGCCGTGTGTAAAACTCGTAGTGAAAAGTTGCCTGATATTAATAGAATTAATTTGTTGTCAGGTGATAAGGGAGTTGAGCAAACGCATTTCTCTCACTGTCGATGAGGAGTTTGGCCCGAATTAATTTATTTTTGAGATTAAACACACAATGTTTTATGTACTATTGTTTTTTTTCCTTGTCTTTTTTTATTTACTTCATTTTTTTTTCTCCGTTTTTTTTTTGTTCGTCGAGCACGCGATCAATTTGTGTAAATTACTTGTGTGCACTCGGTACCTCGTGACAAGTGCAGATGAAACGAAACGTTACCAACCCTTAGCGGGACTCGTCTCACCTTTCACATTAAAAAAGAAGCGATTCTCATCGGGGGTGGGGACGGGGCCGGGTGACGGAGGGTGGCGCGGGAAAGGGAGGGGGGTTGCAATTTTACGGGCATCGGGTTTTAACTGTTTTACGTGACTTCTTGGAACAGCGCGTGTAATTCAATCTGTGTGAAGAAATTCATCCGATAAATGCCTTAAATTATAGGCTGGAAAAAACATGATTAAAATGTCCAGTCGAATAGCCATGCCGTAAGAGTAATTGATTCCATCCTCTTAGTCCCCCCCCCCCATCTCGCCCCTACCATCCCATCCCATCTTTCTCTCTCTCACACTCTCTCTCTTTCTCTCACTCTCTCCGTATCTCCAGATCCCAACCCCGAATCCAACCCCACCTTCGAAGCCTGCGCATTTGGCTAAGACATCGTACTTTAAAAACTAATAAATACCTGGTAAAACGAAAAGGGGAAATTCGAGTTTACATTGGACGACGCTGTCGCTTGAATAATAGATCGGCGCTGAAATTAGGATAGACGAATGTCGGGGTAAACGGTCGCGGAATTGGAATGGGCGCATTATCGGGATCGGAGAAACGGGACCGAATGGGTAGGGATCTCAAGAAGTGGTAACGATGTCGTGTTACGCCGAAGATCGGGAGTCAAGCGTTAAAGGATGCGCGTCACGTAAGCAGCCGTTATAGGAGCTCGAGCATTTTTCCCGATCCGCTCGTCAGCCCTCGGGCACGGGCTTGCGTAGGCGTCCTGACGATCGCTGCAGGAAAGAGCGATGAGCGAGAGAGAGAGAGAGAGAGAGAGAGAGAGAGAGAGAGAGAGGGAGATGAAAAAGGGATGGAAGGAGGAGGAGCAGGAGGAGGAGGAGAAGGAGGAGGACGCGTGGCACACAGGCGCGAGCCGAAAGAGCTGCAGCTGGCGGGCCCGTCCATTACCTGGGCTTCCCCAGCGCGCGACGCCGACGCCGACGCGTACAGCCCTTTGCATCACCCTCTCCCCTCCACCGATTCGCCCGCCCCCGCCATGGGCACACGTATCCACGCGGCGGGCATATATCAAAACGGCCGTGCTCGCGCGACGACAGGGGCAGGCTGCATCCGGCGCGCGGGCCTTCCTTCTTTTTCGGGGACCCTTCAGCTGGGCGAGCGTTAGAAATGCGGAACAGCGCCGCCGAGGCCACGCTGGAATTTCCGTGTTTAGAGACGGGGGCCGCGGCAGCTGCGCCAACTCCCCGCGATGACGCGGCTCCGGGGAAGATGTTTTACAGCGGGAGAGAGGGAGCTAGAGGAGGCCGCCTCGTCATTGGGCGTAGAGACAGACAGACAGAGAGAGAGAGAGAGAGAGAGAGTGTGTGTGTGTGTGTGTGTGTGTGTGAGAGAAATAGAGAGCCTAGTTTGCCTCGGGCGCCGCGAGCGAACCTTAAGCGGGAAATGGTCAATTGCGGCCCTCCCATGATAAAAGTTAGGGAGGAGAGGCCGAGACCCGGCTCGCGAGAGACCGAGACTCGCCACTTTATTTTCACTGTTGTGCGCGGGGCCATGAGGCTTTGACAGCAGGAAGGGGCTCGGCCTGAGGACGAGATGGAAAAGGCAGCGGCGGACCGGGGCTAACGAGTTTTCCAAGTCGACTGAAAAACTGTAGAGTGTTGCGGCACATTACCGGATGTTACATTACTATTTAACGTTACCTCCCTTACGCCATTCTCCGAATAATATGTAGGCCGTGGTAATTCCGCCCCCTAATTCTCTCGCTCTCAGTCTGAATATCGGGCACAATCAGCGTGGACGTCTGCACCTGAGTCAGCCCCGGCGCCAAGCCTTCATCACATCCAATTGCCATAGATTGGGCCCATTGCCACTGAAAATTAATGGAAATCGCTCTTGTCAATAGTCCGCCGACTTGCGTCACGTCGCTCTTTAGTACAATCTCTTTATCCTCCTCCTCCACCTCCCCCCCCCTCTCCTTCTCCTACATTCTCCCTCCTCCTTCTCCATCTGCTCCTCTTTCCTCTCATCCTCCTCATTCTCTCCTCCGTCTCAACCGCAACCAAGATAAGCGCGAGAAGAGCGGCGCTCGCTCAGAATCATCCTCTGCGTCTAGTAGCGAAGAAGTAGCATAAGCGTGGCAGGCGTGTGCACACTTCCCACCTGCCAACAACAGCAGCAGCAGCAGCAGCAGCAGCAGCAGCCGCAATTCGAGACAGGCAGGATCCTTCCCCCCAAACCCACTCCACTCTACTCTATTCTCTCTCTCTCTCTCTCTCTCTCTCTCGATCTATCTATCTATCTTATACAGTCTCATCATACCGCTTGTCTCGTTCTTCACCCAACTCCTTACGTGCATTTGTATTACTCACACTTCATCTACCCATCCCTTCCCCCTGCCCCGCACTCTCTACCCCCCCCCCCCCCCTCTATCATCAAATTTCCCTCTGAATTTCTTACTTTTTAAATACACACATACGACACGTAAATAATACATATGTAATACATATTTATATGCGAGAGAGACCGCGCTTGTATGCGCACGCATACACGTGCGTGAAACACAGTCAGGCATATCTAAAGGAGGCGCGTGCGCTCGGTGTTTGGTTACAGGGAGGCGGCGGCACGTGCGTCGCTTTAGGAGCTGCCTGGACTCCTCCGGGCCAGGTGCTACTGCCGCAGCCGGCCAGCGTGTAGCCGCGGCAGCAGCAACAGCGGCAGCAGCAGCAGCAGCAGCAGTCATGGATCCTAATCAGCGGCAGCAGCAGACGTCCACGGAGCAGGACGACGATCGGCCGTACTGCTTCCGATGCCGCTGCCGCTGCTGCTCTTGCAGCTTCCTCGGCCTCGTCGACGAGGACGACGTGGAAACGGTAGCTAAAGCATCACTACCTCATAGAACGGCGACGAGCACGTGCAACAACAACAGCAACAGCAGCAACATCAACAACATCAACAACATCAACAACAACAACAATATCAATGGGAGGACCAGCACCACTAGGACATCAACGACGGCGAGGGCGGCGACGACACGGACAGCGACGACAGCGACGACAGCGACGACGGCGCCGATGACGACGGCAACGACGACGATGGCCACGGCGACGGCAACAGCGACAGCTACAGCTACAGCTACAGCGACAACAACGACGACAACGATGACGAGGACGAGAACGAGGACAGGGACAACGACGACGACGACGACGACGACGACGACGACGACGAGGACGACGAGGAGGAAAGCGACGACAAGGAGGAAAGCGATAACCGCGGCCGACAATGTACGCTGTAGGAGGCCACCGTACGGGACGACGTCGTCGACAAACGCGTCATCAACTCCGCCTGGGGATAAGGACATCCTGAGTAGAAGGCCGCCTGAACGCAGCCGCCGACTCGGCACACTCGTACCACCTTACCTGGCCACCCTGCTCATACTATACTACGGCCTCGTCGGCATGGCAGGTCAGTGTCACGAGGAGGCAAAGCTCGCGCCCCTGATTTATGCATCCACGGGACGCTCTCGGCCAACCCGCGACCCTCCGCCCTTGCGTCCTCGTATTTTTAGCGCGTCCGGGGGAAGAAGAGTCTCGGCTTACCGGCGCCTCTGTCCACGGGACTCGGGGCATTTCCGCCTAGACGCCACGGACGAGAGCCGACGCAGCCGATCAAGAGATGACTATCGTGTCCGCGTCGAGATTTCGGCCCGCATGCGGCCCCCGGACCATGTGTTGCGATCGCAACGTTCCCCTACGATTCCGAGCCCTTCGTCGCGGTCGCCCATTGAAGGAGGACGGACTGCGCCAGCAGTTCCGCTCGGCCGTTAATCCATTCGCTTGTCCACCGATTTACGACATCGGCTGAATTAATGGATTCCCGATTTATTACTTTCTTTCTTTATGGCCCTCCATTTCCCTTCTCCCTTCTACCTTCTCCCTTCGCCCATCGCCTTTCGCCTTTCGCCCTTCGCCCTTCGCCCTTCGCCTTTTCCTCATTATCTATCTACCTAATCTATAGCTCCTTCTCTCGTTGGCCCTTTATTACGGTGTCTCGTTATTACGAAATGGTCGGCCTTTAGCGAGGGGAGGCGAGCCCCGCACCAAACGAGACGAGTATCATCGCTATTGAGTGGGCGTCCACAGCAATGCTACTTCCATCGTCCATTTCACGTGAAAGCAGCGAGTTTCGCACCCACACCCACCAAGACTCCGCGACGCGATGCATTTAAACTTCCCGCGCGCATTATTTACGAGTGTTCGATTAGTCCTTGTCCGGTATAGCTGCTCGATCGCGTCTTCAGGGAGAAAAACTTGTCGTGAGTAGTACGAGGAGAGGAGATGTGAAAGGAGCAGGAAAAAAAGGTTAATCGGACGGATGGCCGAGTCCGCGACAGGTGCGGCGGATAAGAAAGGAAGGACAAGGAAAAAAAAAAGACAGCGCCCGGGTGCCCGTGGCATCTGTGGCCGTCCAGTGGCGTTCTCTCCTCCGTTTCTTTTGTTAATTTCTCTCTCTCTCTCTCTCTCTCTTACTTCATTTTTCTTTTTTCGTTCACCCCGCGCGGGCGTCTATATGCATAAATGTATAAATGAGAGTACACGCAAATACGTAATGAAATGTTTTCCTGTCCTGCTTTTGGTTGGCATCGCTGGACGTCGTTGGCCACGCAGACGCGTGCTCGTCGCGCTCGACGCCCAAGCCGAGGCCACCGACGCCGACGCCGCGACCCAACATCACATTCCACATGTACACGTGCCCACCGGACTACGCGGAGTGGTACTGCCTCAACGGGGCCACGTGCTTCACCGTCAAGATTGTCGACTCGCTGCTCTACAACTGTCTGTGAGTTGACCGAAACGACAACGATATCTTTAACTATATATATATATATATATCCCTCTCTCTCCCTCTTAAAAAAAAAATTATATATATATATATATATATATATATATATATATATATATGTATATATATATGTATGTATGTATGTATATAATAAAAGAAAAACAAAAAAAGTAGCCGTGCCCACCACCGGGTGCAGTCGGGTCCCTTTCACTGGAAGCCAACTGCCCAAAGTGGAGGAAAGGAGCGAGCTTGAGGAGGAGAAGGTGGAGGAGAAATGGCGACGCACGAACAAGCGGGAGCAAAAAGGGAGAGAGAGAGAGAGAGAGAGAGAGAGAGAGAAAGAGGAAGAAACGACGACGGGGGAGTTGGAACGAGAGTTTCCTGGGCTCTCCTCCTCTTTTCCCACGCTGTTTGCCTTTGGCCGTGCTTTGTCGAGCGAACTCTCTCGCTCTCTCGGGCGAGGTGGGGGTGGAGGTCACTGTGCTCCTTCGGCGGAAAGCCAAATGTCCGCACGAGCGAGCGCAGTACTCGCCTCTAATTCTCCCTGCTACCGCTAATCCCCGACTCACTTGCCCAGACACGTTTTTCCTTCCGTGTGCATTATACTTTTATCACGCCAACTTTTCCTCTCTCGCATTCCTCACCCATTTCCAAATTCAATCAGCTTTCCCAGCACACTGGTCACGTATATATACATGTACTTATACACCGTCTGCACACGTTTACGCTACGCGTGCGTACGTGTGTACGTATTAATAATAATAATAATGACGACGACGACGACGACGACGACGACGACGACGACGACGACGACGAGGATGATGATGATGATGATGATGATGATGATGGTAATGATGATGATGATAAGAAGAAGAAGAAGAAGAATGTCGATGAATGAATGACTCGAGCGCTTACCCAAGAGGAGAGAAAGAAAGATAGAGCGAGAGGGGAGGGGGCACTGATGACAAATGAAAAATATCCTCTCTATTTCTCCATCGCGTCCTTACTCTCTTCCTGGGAATAATCGCTCGATGCCATTCTCATGCCGCGATAAAGGCAATCCTTCTTTCTTTCACCGTCTCTCTTTACATTGCATTGCATCTCTGTCGCTCGCGGGGGAGAGACGGATGAGAGAAGCGTGGCGCGACCTTGACAAGGAAAAACCGCCTCTTCGTTACACCTTGCCACTATCCTTACCCTTTTCGCCGCCTCTCTCCGCCCCCGTACCAGGCCATCGCACCACCATTCTCTCTTCATCTCGCCTATCGCCCACACCCAACTAACACCAACTTCTTGTTCACAGCTGCGCGAACGGCTACATCGGCCAGAGATGCGAATTCAAGGACCTCGACGGCTCTTACCTACGTAAGTACCAACCGCCCATCCCAGCCCATCCTGACCCTGACCCTTACTCAGCTAACGTTAAGCTACCCCCACATCGTCGATCGACGCGTGCCTTCGGCGCCAACGAGATCGCCAAGTGGATGATCCATGTCTGATCGAGGGCTCCCCCCCCCGTTCCACTCGCTACCCCAAATAATCTAGCATTACACCTTTGCTTTTGTAGCGTCTCGGCAACGCGTCATGCTCGAAACTGCCAGCATTGCGGGTGCCGTCACGATAGCGGTTTTCCTCGCCGTCATCACCTTCATCTCCATTTACATACACTGTAAACGAAAGCAGAAGGAGCTACGCACGAGGTGAGTTGCGACGACCTGCGACGCTTTCGTTACTATCGCCAATCTAAACAACCGCACGAATAAGTCTTACCGAGAATTCCGTTGATTTTGTTCTTTTTACTTTTTTCTTTTTATTTTTTGTTTTTTGTTTTTTGTTTTTAATATTTAATTGAATCGATTGACTCTTTATCTGCCATAACTCTTTCGTATTGAGTATTGCGACAATTATTGATATGCATGACGATAAGCATTGATTTTTCGAACGGATCCCATTGGATAATGACGAATCGCCGCATAGCGTTTAATGCCTAACGACGGAGATCGATGGATCATGGCAATATAACAGCTACGCGATTAAACGCCATAATCGCATAAATTCATGGGAGTCTTGTTAACGAGATAATGCTCGTAAATTCGAGTTCGACGTTCCTACGACCTTTTAGGTCGCGAGCCTGCTGAAAGTAACGTCTCTAAAGTTTTTCGGAGACAAATTGAGCCGATGAGATAATTGTCGTATTACATATACTTGGAAGAAACTCCCCCTGAGGGGAACTACTGCTTCTACAATTAATATAAAACTACTTCAATTCGAGAAATAGATCAAAATCAAGCGTGGCTGTAAAGATCTTTTCGCTGGATTATAAGGTAGTGTCGCGCTACACTTCAGCAGCCGCTTCTTCGGGCGTTATTCATCGTTACATTGGCGGAGGATGTAAAAGGAATTGACGCGGATGACGCGTCCTCCGCCGTTCGTTCCATCATCGGATAATCGGTGGCCCGTGGAGGCTCGACCTCGCTCATGTGCTCATTCAATGTTTAAACAAGCGAGACGCAGCGCAATCGTGTTTTTGCGAGACTCGATAATAATTCGTTGATCGAGCTGCGAGGAGGAATAGGCAAGCGAAGTCATCTCGGATTCTTAAGCGCGCGAGTCGCGCGACAATAATGTTATTGGCATTGCCGAGGTTGTAGCGCGTAGGGTACATTCGTGCAAGTCGATGAAATAGCTTTAATTGCCGTTGGCCGAGGCCGGGGCGCTGGCCAACGAGGAGGAGAAGAAGGAGAATAAGAAGAAGCAACGGGCCCGTTAAA